TTGAGAGTCAGAAGTCTGATATGGGTGTCCTATTCATGGATAAGCATTCTATGGTCTTTTGTTTTCTACACATTGGCCAATTGTGGGGTTTTGTGTTAATCACCATCTGCTACATAAAGAAACTTCTCTGGTGAGAGTTGAGAATGCTTTAATCTATGGATATAGCAATGTCATTAGAAGTCAGTTTAATATAATAACTATTTAGTAGAAGACTGGTATTAGGCTCTCCCCTATATCCTGTGACCTGTCTAGCCTCAGGTTCCTAAGCCTGATATCAATGTCAGGTATCGGCTTCACTCTAGGAAGTGACTTTAAATCCAATTAGACAGTGATTGTTACTTCCATTATATTTGTGCCACTACTGCACCAATGGATGTATCTTGCCAGGTCAGTTGTTATTATAGTTCACAGGATTCACACCTGGATAAGGTTGATGATAATTTTCCTTCTGATAACATGCATAGCACCTTCCAGCACTATGAATATTAGTCAGTAGAGATGAGGATCTGCAGTCAGCACCAGCTTGATTTCTAAGTGAGATTATTTTTATCATATGAACCCACTTTTGAGTCAAATGCTGAATGGAGTATGTGTAACTTCTGAAACTCTGTACCCCTTGGAAATGGGACAGTAAACTGCATTTATTTCAACCTCTTCTTCCACAAAAATATCTGAGAGAAACAATCTAACAAATGCGTGTCAAAACTATGGGATGAGCTGTTTCTGTATCGCAAACAATTCCCTCAATTAGTGTTGCTTAAATTGAGGTGTGCCATCAGGCAGTGGTATCTTGATGGAGCTGATCAGAAACAAGTTGCAGGCTTACCCCAGGCCCAATCCCAATCTGCACAATCTATCTGGTAACTGGATTCCCAGGGGAATCTGCAAGCTTACCAAACAAATTTCGAGAAGCTCTACCTTCAATTCAGTCTTCCAGAATCAGCTTCAGTAGTACAGACACTTCGAATCCTTCTAACCATGTAAAAAGAATCTCCTACCCCTTCTCAGCCCCAAATATCTCTTTAAACCAATGTTTAGGTCTTACAGAATTACTACCATTAAGAAATTTATTTAAAGGAGCTAGCAAGATGGCTCCGTGGTGGCTAACAATCATTGAAACTTCTGTTCCAGGGCATCTGACCCCCTCTTCTGGCCTGCAGGGGCATTGCATCACACAGGTATACTTACATACATGCAGGCAAAACACATAAAATTTTTTTAAAAAAGCGGCGTGGTGGCGCATGCCTTTAATCCCAGTACTTGGCAGGTGATCTATGTGAGTTCAAGGCCAGCCTGGTCTACACAGTGAGTTCCAGGCCAGCTGGTGCTACAGGGAGACCCTGTCTCAAAAAGACCAAAAAAAAATTTTTTAAAGAAATTTATTTAAAGACACAAATTAAGAATCTCTTAAAACCTGAAGTGTTTCAGATTTTAGATTTTTTTCTTTTTTTTCAGATTTTGAGAAATCCTAACAAGGTAGCTTGGGGGAGGGGGTGTCCCAAGACTAAATACAAAATTCAATTATGGTTCCTGTGTATCTTATATACATGGTTAGAATATAATTTTACACAGTATTTGTAATGTGCTTCCATTTTGACTGACTTGTTAAATAAGGTTAGGTATGGAATTTCCCAGTTGTGGAACCATTTTGCTGTGCTCAAAAAGTTTTGGGTTTGGAGGCATTTCAAATTTTGAGTTTTCAGATTAGGAATGCTCAAACTGTACTGACATCCTGGGCCCACTGACAGAGAGTGATTAAATTTGTATGTAGTGAAGTCTAAGCAAAAAATATTTTTTTTACATATCCCAAATGCAAAGCACAGGTATTAAGTATTTTTGTTCTATATAGCTGCTTGTAAGTACAAACGATTACCATTCATCTGACCAATAAGAGAATCCTTTTTGTAATTTCTCAAACTGTAGCATGTGTGAATCAGAATCACAAGGAAGGCTTCCTCAAATACAGGACTGGTGGGCCCCATCCCCAGAGTTTTTGGTGCAGCAGTCAGAATCAATAGGTGGGCCTGGGATGGATATTTCTAACAAGATCCCAGCTGTGACTTTCAGGTGATCACACACTGATAATCACTTATTTTTCAGACTATACCATTTACCTCAGAGAACTACCTGAGAAAAGTATTGAAGGCTTTGTTTATGAGGCTGTTTTTTGTCTTTTTTTTTTTAATGTGTGTATATGTTGTATATAGTGTGTTATGCATATGTGTTAGTGAGGGTGTGGAAGTGTATGTGCAAGTACTTGTGCATATGCATGTGGAAGTCAGAAGCTGATGTCAGCTGTCTTTCCTACAGATAACTGAGACAACTAGAGACAAGGTCTCTAGCTGAACCTGAAGCTCATTGACTTGGCTAGACTGGCTAGTCAGTGTTGGCTTATAGGCACAAGTCACAATGTTTGGTTTTTTGTTTTTTTGTGTGGTTTTTTTTTTTTGAGATCCAAAGCCAGGTGTGGTGGCCCACGCCTTTAATCCCAGCAGTTTGGAGGCAGAGGCAAGGGGATCTCATGTGAACTCATGATCCTATGGTATCTGCTTATCTACTCTAGTAACACTTTCAAAAACAGTAACATTCAAATCAAACAAACATTTTACTTACCAAACCCCACAGAGCACCAGGAGAGGTAGCAGTGATGGTAGCTGCTCTGGGTGTGTTGTACATTAAGGCCAGTTCGCCAAAACTCCCACGGTTATCGTAGTTACCGACACATCTTCCAACACCATCGCATTTTACATAAATATCAAATGTTCCTCTGTTGGACATGTGTAAATTAGAGGCAAAGTAATTCAAACAAAATCAAATTACAGTTATTCCAGAGAAGAGCCTTGTACAATAAAATCTTATTTTCAGCCTGTCTATCCCTCTGATGGCAGTATATGCTGATCTCTTCTAAATGCATAAAAGAGACCATCAACTAGACCAGGGTAGGGACCATGCATGAGGAAAATAAAACTAAGCAATAATATTTTAAGATAAAAATCAAGGATAGAATACACACAGACAATCATCTGAAGGAACATACATGAAACACTTAACTGCACTTAGTGAGAATTGTGAAAGACTGCAGGGACATTCACCATGTAACTTAACACTATGCTTCTGAAAGGAATGTATATACTTTTGGGATCAGAAGAAAATGGCTATTTTAAAAAAGAATACAGGTGTAACAATTTGGTGATGGGTTCATTATAAACTACAGCAGGGGTTGGCTCACAGGCTAGCTGCCTGTGTTTGTCAATAAAGTACTTACTGGAAAACAAACATATTCCTTTATGCATTATACATGGCTGGTTTGGGCTACAACTAGCAGAGCTGAATTATGTTGCAACATAGACCACATTGGCTTACAAAGCCTTAATACTCATTCCCTGGCCCTTTGTAAGATCTGGCCCTTTACTTTAGGTCAACCCCCAAACTAAAGTTAAAAAGTAGTCGAAATTCAGACCAAACATCTGACTGTTTTTCTGGTTTTTCTTAGATTATTTTTCCACCAGGGTGGAAACTCCATTCACATGCCACTGCACTGCGTGAGCCAGGCCCTACACTCGTGTTAGCTGTCCCTCCTGCACAGGACTGTCTTCCCACAGACTGAACTTCAACAGAGAGATCAGAGTGTCAAGGCTGGCTAGCACACCTGTGAGGGCAGACGAGAAGTTCTTTGGCTTTATTCTGTTGGTTAAATCCTATCAGACAAAAAGATGGGATAGTGCTAAAAGTAACATCGTTTAGGATTAGAAAAGGATTGTGAAAAGTAAAGAAACAGTAAGACAGAAATATGAGGTAAACGACAACAGATTTAACTTAAAAGGGAGCAAGATGTTGGCTTTTAACACAATTCATAGATAGAATGACTCTCCAGAAGATACCTTCTAGAATTTGTTCCATGAATAACTATTTTTAAAGTATGAATTTAAACTCTGTCACTTACACCATGTTTATTTTGTCACTGAAACTGTTTTCTACATCTACCCTTTAGAACAGGACAAAATGAATAACCAAAGGTACCAGCAAGAACATGTCAGGAGCCCAGCTGAGTGCCCATCAGTCAAGTCTGTTACAGTAAGTGGGCTGCTTTTCCAGATTTCTTCCCTGGTGTTGTTAGGCCTCAGGCAATGAAGGACCAAGCAGAGAACATGATGGAAGCTGGTGACAGGAGATCTGACTGTGATCAGCCACACTGACCATCTGGGTGACCTCAATCAAGCCCTGTCACTTCTGTGTGCCTGAGTGTTTCATCTGCCGGGTGATTAGAATCTGACAGAGTGTACCATGTTCGAATGCAAGTAAAAAATACCACTTAAAAGATTAATACTGCCTCACACGTGGGATCATCCTTTACAATTAAAGGTAAACACTTGAGTTTCTAAGCTGTTTAGTTGGTAAAAACTGTTAGTAAAAACCAAAATCACGACTCAACTTGCAAAGGGATAAATGATTTTGTTCTATCCCAAACCCTGGCTAGAGTTGCAACAGTAGGTTACCAGGCCACCAGGGAATGGAAGAATCATTGGAACCCCCTCATTCAAAGGGCACGCAGGATTCATGTATCAAAGAAAACAGAGCCAAGGCCAAGAAATGAGGCCCAAGGAGTCAGAAGAGGTCTAATGACCAGCTGACTACAATTCTATCCAGAAAAGAAATGTACTCTAATAAATCAGTCTGGGAGATGACCTGTGTTCCACATAAAACCAGACAGATTAGACACCACCTGCCACATGAACTCTTCAGGATTTTGCATAGGTAAAGCAATATCAGTTTCAAGTGCACTCCATTACAGTTTGGGAATCACATAAGCCATTTTCTCTGATGAAGTAAACACAACTTAAGATTTCTGAAATTAGATTTTCAACACAAATAAGAGCATTCCTTCTCATTTTCATAAAAATATTTCTAGAATTTCTAAAAAGACAAATATAATAATTTCTGAAAGGACACATGAGCTACTCATTCTTAATGCTAAAACAGCAAGAAAAAAGACTGACTTCTTACCTGATGCCCTCTGGAGTACCTGAGTTCTTTTGTAGTTAATAAAATAACTGCGTGTTTAAAGACACGCAGCAGCAAATGAATCACCACTTAGCATCTAGATGCTGTACCTCTCCTCTGTCCTTACTGTAACAGTCATATACTACATGCTAACACTATTGCATATTATCTACCTATAGCAGTTGGCAAATGGAGTCACATTAATGACCGAGACATAAAGTAACCAAAATTTCAATCCTTCTATAAACTATGCATACTCATGTGACCTAGCACAGCTTTGCTCTATGGATTCATAATCTGTGTAGAGTGCCTGTTTGTAGAGTTGACAGTAACTATCATAGAGTAATGTGGCAGCTGTCATAATGACCACTGAGATTTTACACAAAAGGTTTTTCAAACTTTGTAGTAAAGCTAGAAAAAACTTACCTATCAATGACATAGAAATTGTCACCATCATCACCTTGATCAATTACATGCTCCCCTTCTTTGACCAATTTTTCAAACATGGCATCTAATACTTGAGACATCTGCTCCTATTTTTTAAAGAGGTAAAATATCTTTATGTATATCTAGAACACAGGTTCTTAAGTAATCATAATAATCTTTATATTTTTGTGAAAGATCTCAAAGAAATGGGAACATCATTACCATTATGTCTTAGCAGAAAAACACATGGTGCAGTCTTCCTTACCACATACAAATGAGATGATTATAATATTTATTCTCATATTCAGCATTTGAATGAGAATGATGATAATCAGTCTACTTTAGAACATTTGCAACTATTACAACTTCAAAATGAAAAATAACCATCAAACCACCATATAGCTTTTGAAAATAATCTTTGCAACTAAAATGACCAGGTTAGTAAAGAGCTATTTCAAATTTCCTTTTTAAAGATACCTTTTCTTAAAATTTCCCTACTAGTCATCACTAGCATTTGTGTAGAGGTTCCTTAAACACTTGGTGAAATTACATCTTGCCTCTAATTTTACTTTTTGTGTTAATGCCCAAAAGAAAACAGAAAATAGAAAAAAAAAAGCTAAGCCAAAAAGATGACTATCAAATATTCTGTCACTATTCTTTGTTACTATGTTTCTCTTCAAAAGTCAACCATCTGTCTCTAGGAAAGAGCTTTCAAAATCATTAAAACTGTATTTAACAGTGTTAGAGGGGTTGGTCAATGTGCTGAACACTCTGTAAGAAAGCTCTAGACTGGGAATATATGGTTGGAGTGGGGCTGAAACACAAAGTTGAAAACAAATTAAATGGTTTCAGGTTGTACAGGGATCAATTGCTTCCTATCTTCCTTAATAATCCCTCTATCCTGAATACAATGCTTAGTAGCCAAGACTTCACTCAACTTCCCAAAAGAGATCAGAGAAAAACAAGCAACTTAGAACTAGAGCAGATAAAATGAACACTCATGCTCTGGACCTTCCCTTACTGGGAAGAGGGTTCCCCAATGTAACAGCTGGTGCCCTGTCAGCTCAACCTGAACAGCACCCTGGATCACATGCTGCCCTACTTCCTCAGAGCTCTAAATCAGCTTTTTGTTACCCCTCTGGAAGTCTTAACACCACATGAGAGAGATACTTCAGGATCAAGAGAGCTTTTAGAGATTTCTGCTTGTACACCTAGAGATATTCCAGATGATATGACACTCATGACACAGACAGGTACACAAGAAGGATCCTTACCAAAAAAGACAAAAACAAAAACAAATAAAAAACGCTGAGTATTTTAGAAATTTAAAACATGACTGGTAATTTTTTCCCTTTAAAATCAACTTCTTTTGAGCAGTTTTAGGTCCACAGGTGTGGATGGTTCCAAACATCCCCAGCCTCCCACAATATTACATCCCTCAGCAGAGTGGTAGATTTGTTACAGCTGATGAGTTACTGGTGCCATTACTGACCCAAAGTCTGCACTGACATGGGACCTGCTCTCAGTGTTGTACATTCTATGAGTATGACAAATATAAATGACATGAAAACACCTTACTGAATTTTTTAAGAATTAAAAGCAGAAAGTAAAACCCAAACCACAAAGTCAACAAAGAGACAGACAGCATTCCAGAGGAATAATAGAGAAACAAAGGGAGGAAAATAAAAATGGGATCAATTTTCCAGAACTAAAAGACAAATTTTCAGATGGAAGGGCACATCAAAGGGCCGAGTAAAACTGAAGACCAAATTCCCATAGTAATGTGATGTGACATTTTGACCACCCTTTAAAGAGATGGGTTAGAGCTCTGCAATGCTCTGGGAAGAGGTGTGTCTTAAAAATAGTTTTTTAAAAAAAAGATGTCCAGCTTCTCTCAAGATGCAGAGAAATGCAGATCAAGTATGAATGCATACCACTTCTTTCACTTACTAAAAGTCACTTGTCAAATTTAAAAAGATACAAAGGTTTATAGCACATGGGGTGATAATGCTCCCTCTAAGAACTGCAAGGTGTCTAACAAAATCCCCAGTACCAGGCATGGGAAACTTCCCTTCAAATTGTAGGTCAGAGTAGTTCAAAGAGAATTTTTGGTGTGTTTTGTTTAAGTAATCTTTATCAGGAGTATCTTTTGCAAATATTTTCTCTATCTAGGACTTGCTTCTTCATTCTGCTGAGAGTGTCATTTATAGTTTAGAAACATTTTTTTTCTTTTTGAAGCAGAGTCTCTCTATGTAGCCTAGATGTCTTCTAACTCATAATCCTCCTGCCTCAACTTCCCAAGTACTAGACTTACAGGATCATACAACCATACCTGGCCTTAGGAAATTTTAATTTAATGAAGTCTAACTTACTGTTTCTTTCCTAAGTTGCCATTGAATGTCCTCCCGCTATTTTTGAAAATCAACTGGCCATAAATGTACAGGTGTGTTTTTGGACTCTCAATTCTACTTCATCATTCTTCATGCTTATCCTTATGCTGGCACCATATTATTTCTATTACTATAGCTCCAGGACAAGTTTTAATACTGAGAAATATGAGTCTTACAACTTTGCTCTACGTTTTCCCTATTATTTTGGTTATTTGCTATGTATACAATTTTAACATAGGGGACAAAGGCAAAGCACTAATATATTTGCATGGCTTAACTCTGTAATAAAATGTACCACTTTAAACTTTCATAAATTAATACTAATAAAATACTTAAAGAGAGTATTTATTGGCATAAATATATTCCAGTAGAGAATCTAAGTTTCTGTATCTCTATGGAATGTAACATATTAAGAAAGGAACAGTTCAGAACACAGCATAAATTTTCTGCTACCAATTATTTAAAAAAGAATATATATGTATATGCACTGAATAGTTATGGAAAAATCAATGTGACAGTGCTAAAAGAATGTGGCTGCTGGAATGTGGGCTGGTGTAGGGAGAGAGTTACAGAGAAGGTTTCCTTTGATTATTTTTTGTCCATTTTGAATTGTGGTAAATTTTCTGTAAATTGAAGTTTCTTAGTTAAAAAAACTATTTAAACAGAGAATATAATTTTGAATCTTCTTGTGGGCTAGGAAAAACTTGAGGAAATGATGGTGACAGGTTTGCAGGAAGTGATCCCTTCCTTGGCTCCTTCTGTGAGCCCTGGCACCTACTCATGGGCCAGCAGCCAGGGCTGAAGAGGAAGCCAGGATAGCAGGAAAGCAGAGCTTTCTTGATGTGGTGTTAATTGGCCCCATGGGGACCTTTTACCCAAATGAGTTCATCAACTCAGGCAACATATGGTCACCTATCAAAATTCTGAAGGTTAATTAAATGGTTTAGTAATATTTTATTTTGCTTGCTATTTAGACTTTTGACACTTTTAGGACAGGTAGAGGGGAAAACATCACCTTTATTGATTAGTTCTGACTCTAAATGTTAAATGGCAAAAAGGGAAAAAATTGCTACAGTAAAATTTTCAGTTATGTTAGAATTAGCTACATTTTAAACAGATGCATAATACATGGCTTTTAAATTACAAAGCTAAAAGAATTCATACACAGAAATATGAAAAATTCCTGATAAAACAAGAGAAATTTACTTTTAGACTTTCTCAATGTGACAGGTGTCTGTTCTAGTCAATCAAAATGCAATTTCCCTATAATTATGCACAGAGTGAGAACAACTTAGGAAATATTTAATATGCAGAGGCCTATCGTAATGATTGACAACCACTGCAGGAAATCCACATCTAATTCTCCTACAGAATGCAAACCCAAGACTGAGCTCGGCAGAGGCTCTGACTCACCAAGGCGTAACAATTCACTCTGCATTAATGGAAGTGTCTACCATATAGCACAGGAAAATTGTTTCAGTTAGCCTCGAATTAGAAATATTTCTGAAGAAAACTGGCCTAATGAGTTGAGCATTAAAATATTCATGAAAAGAATATCTTCAAAGACATTAATAATTAGAAATTCTGTGTTTTGAGATATGAGTATATAGGACCCTAAGGAAAAATGTGCTGAGGTCTAGGAAGTGAGAGATTTTCAAACTAAACAATGACTTCAGAAAATTCAAATAAATGTAGATACATAGCCAAGATTATTATTCTTGCTAATCAGTAATTACTGTTTCCCTTTCTTCCTTCCTTCAAGCTTTCCCAGTTCTAGAAAGATACTCCCTTCACTGTCACTGCTGCTGGACCCTAGCAGTCATCCTAGATGCTCCTTCGAGCCCCAGTTAGACCACCTGTCAAGTACCAAGGTCTGTTAGTCCTACATACAGTACACCCATCCCTTTCTGCCCATCTCCTTCTCCTTCCCCTAGATCAGGCCCATTTCCTTCCCTTGGATCATGGTTTGGCTTCCTTTATGGGCTCTTCTCTTTTGTTCTGGCCCACATCCTCCATCACTCTCCCACTTTAATTCTCCTCTTGATGCTGCCATCAAATAAGACTGTTACAGCCTCTACTCAACATTTCAGTTTTACCTACTGTATACAGGACATCATGGAAGAGGAAAAGGAAATAATGTAAGAGTTGGAGGATGCAGAGTAGTTCTGTGAAATGCTGTCCTCTGGACATGATACGATTGTTAAACACATGAACTCACAGCAGTTGTGGTTACCTGCATAAGACCTGTGCAAAATCAAGCAGGTTAAATATTCCAGCATGGAGCAGAGAGGATCTGTTGAGACCCCACCCCTAGCTGAGGAGCTAAGAGCAGTTGATGACTGCTGAGGGAGGGAGAGTCACTTTTCTTTGGGGGTGTGGCCACTGGTAGGTTCCCCATGCCCTAGGGCTAACCCCATACCCATGTGCATATAGCTAGCACTAAATGGACTCAGTGGATTTAAATAAACAAACAAATAAATAAATAATGAATAAGGACATAAAGTTGGGAGGGAGATGTAATAGGTAGTCCTAGAAGGAGTTATACTGTATACACTGAAACAATCAAGAAAAATTATATACATGTATGAAATTTTCAAAAAAATTAAATGGAAAGGAGAGATGGCTCAGCAGTTAAGAACACTGGCTACTCTCCCAGAGGATCAGGGTTCAATTCCCAGAACCCACATGGCAGCTAACAAATGTCCATAATTACAGTTCCAGGGGATCTGATGCCCTCTTCTGGCCTCTGTGGGCATTGTGTGGCCTGGATGCACTTACACACACACACACACACACACACACACACACAAAGGGTGGAAGGTAACCAAAGAAGACACTCAACATCAACCTCTGACTTCCATATGGGCATGCACATGCATGTACACACACACATTCACACATACAAATAAATTATATTAAATATGACCTTAACCTAAAACTTTCAATCTGCTATGTTTGGGGGGTAAATTTCTTATTCTACAAAGTAATTTATTGAGTAAAACAAATGTTTATAGTTCATTAGCATATCCTATCCTATGTCGTATCAAAAAGGACTTAAGATAGTAGGGAGAAAAAAAATCAAGTTTGAGTTCAAATTTAAAAACCAATCTTTGTGTTAGACATGATGACCCATGCTTGTATTCCCAGGAGATGGCAAGCTGAGGTAGGAGGATCCTGAGTTCTAAGCCAGCCTTGGCTATCTAAAAACAACAGACCTCTTTTGGGGGAAAAATATATACGTGCGTATGTGCGTGCATGCGTGTGTGTGTGTGTGTGTGTGTGTGTGTGTGTGTGTGTGTGACAACTCATGGTAGTATGGTATGCACATGTGCTTAGGGCTATTTAGAATTGGCAGGTTTCTGAAGAAAACTGATTGTGTCTCCCTCAGCAGTCAGCAGCCATTGATTTCCTTTATTCCTCTAGGGGTTGGGCTGTGGTATTTGTCCATCTGATGCAGGCAACCGTATTGTTTAGAATTCATGGGTGTACCATTTATGTTCAGTCCAGAAGTCATCCTGGTCCTCTGGCTCTTACAGTCTTCTGCAGTGTTCCTGGAGCCTAACGTGTAGGGGCTGTGTTATGGACGTCCCTCTTGGGGCTGGGTATCCCACAGTCACTTGGTCTCTTCATTTTGACCAGTCGTAGACCTCACGCTATCACACAGCTCCCTGCTTCTCATGGTTTCTCTCTGTGTGACAACTCATGGTTTGGGAGCTAGTTCTCCTTCACCCATGAAGTGGCTTTTAAATTATACATTAAAGAGTTTTAGCAGAACAGTGAAAGAAGTCTTTTTAAAATCTTGTTTATAAGAATACTTAGCTAAATGCTGAGCATGATGGAGCATGCCTTTAATCCCAGCATTTGGGAGGCAGGGGCAAGTGGATCTCTGTGAGATCGAGGTCAGCCTGGTCTACATAGTGAGTTCCAGGCCAGTTGGGGCTACCAGAGAACCTGTCTAAAGAAAAAAGGAATACTTAGCTAGGTTTGGTGGCATAGGTCTTTCATCTCAGGTAGTTGGGAGGCTGAGGCAGGAGGCTCATTTACAAGTCCAAGGCCTGTCTGGGCTACAGAGTAGGGGGTCAAGGTCAGTCTGGGCAACCAGACCCTGTTTCAAAATTAAAAATAAAAAATAAATAAAAATAAAAAGGAAAAAGTGGGCTGTGTATATAAGTACTCAGTGTTAAAGCATTTGCCTAGCATGTGCCAGACAGAGGAGGAAGGGGAAGGGGGAGGGAGGGGGAGATGGAAAGAAAAGGAATTAGGGTCTGGGAAGGTAACAGTACTTCGAGCAGACACTGTCAGTACAGCCAAGCGGAGACAAGTCATCCTGGCTTGCCCAGGTCTGGTGAATGATTCCACAATGCTTTTAAGAATTAAAGATGAAAGGAGGGTGATTAGGGAGACAGCTCTAGCTCAGTGGGTAAAGTGCTTGCCTTATAATCATGAGGTCCTGAGCTCAATCCTCGAAACTCACTTATAAAAAGCTGGGTGTGATGGAGAACACCTGCAATCACTCTAACTTTTTTTTCCAACTGGATCTTTTAAATATTTGACGTTTGTTCCCTACTAACTTTCAGATGGATTAAATATCTTTTTATTCTTTGACAATTTCATACATGTACATGATAAATTTTGGTTGTTTTTAGCCCCCATTATCCTCTCATTCCCTTCCTCTCCTTTAAAAATCCCTCGTCTTCCCTCAAAGTCCCCCCATTTTCACCTCTTCTTTTTTGGTGATCCACTAAATTTAATTAGAATTGTTTACATCAGTTTACTAAAATTACTAACTCTAGCTAAAATATCACTATTAAATACATAGACCTAGATAAATATGAACTAGTAATTCAGAGCACTCAAGTTTCAAGCTGGTGCTTTCTTATTGAGATGTTGATACATATAGAAAGCCCTGGGAACACATGCTACTTAAATAGTGAAACAAAGAAAAGACCTGTCTTCCCCCTTCAAGAACTAAATGAATGAAGCAACATATAGATCTTCAACTCTTCAATTCAGGCCTGTTAAGAGATGATAACCTGAACTCAGACACACATACAGACTTTTTTACTCTTTGCTCCTAAAACCCAGATTTCCAAAGTCACAAAACATAATTCATGTTCTAGAGAACATGATACAAATCTAGAAGATACAAGAAACCAATGGAGGAATTGGGGGTGAATATGATCAAAACACATTGCATGAAATTTTCAAGATTCATAAAATTATTTTTTAAAAGAAATCAATGGAGATTTTAAAAAGTATTTCAGAATGTAAATATGACCTAATATAAAAGAGTTATGATACAATGCCTTAATGTCTCCAAAAATGTCCCTTTTAAAAAATTCATCCCAAGAAAATAGTGGGAATAGAGTCAATGCTCTAGACATCAATCTGAAAACTGGAAGATGTGGAATGTGAAAAAAGTAAGGTTGAGATAAGTTATGATTTGACTCTTCGCATTTGGAACAAGGTAGAAGTTCCCTCCTAAATGACTAAATGGCAAAAACATGGTCTGTGATGACATGACAAAGCAGAACATTTGGTCAAGAGTGTGAGGCAAAGTCTCAACAGCACTCACATCCATATGTGAAGGCTAGAGACATCAAAATTCTTTCAAAGAGTCAAACATTCCCTTGTCTTAAGCCAAGTAAAATGTGACGTTTAAAATGTAGAACATAGAGCTTGTACATAAATAGAATTACCACTAGCTGCTAAGAACAACCGAGAGGCCTTCCTCCATGGGCCCCCAAAGAATGGGGGGGGGTTCTCAAAGAATGTAAAGGTGCTCAAAGAATGTAAGGTTCTAGACTTTCTTTATCTATGCTACCCCAGGGCTGGGTCTGCAAGAAGTAACTTCTGAAGAATGAGACAGTATCTTCTCTTAGACAAAGGTACAGGCTTTCTCAGACTCAGCTTTCTTCTCCTGCAGCTCAACCCCAGCAAGTACAGGCATCAATGGAGCCTCTTCCAGGATCCCAGAGTGATGTTAGCTTGGAAAGGGAGAAATTCGAGCCCTTGCACAGTTCTTTACCCATTTTGACTATTAAGCTTTATCTTACCGGATCCAGGTTCTTAAACAACAGGATGTCTTTGCAAGCCTCTTGCAATCTGTTTCTTTGATCATCAGTTTTGGGATGTATAATCTGAAGAGACACCAAAATTTAAAAAACAAAGACAACAGTCAGCACCAAATAAAATAAAAATAATAAATGTTTAAATTTTTTTTTTAAAAAACGAACAAAAATTAAAAGGAATGTTCAAAAAGTAATGGTTAGTGTTCAAGTTCACTTAAGGGTGGCACTTTAGATGGTTAGCAAGGATCAGCCCCCTGAGAGGTGTGGTGGGGATACAGCCCAACTCAGGGTGATACAAAATCAGCAATGCTGTACTCTGATGCTTTTGAAGAGAGTGTTTTCCCCAGGTTAGCAAGTGCATTATGCAAAGGTGTATGATTGCCTAGGAAGGCTCCAAAGATCCCAGCCTCTATGAACAATGGCAAAAGGAGAAAATAGTCTAACAGCTATACTGAAAAACTAGAGACTACCTCCATTCAGTTTCTACTGAATTAGAAACTCTTTCAGGGGGCTGGAGAGGTAGCTCAGCAATTAAGGGCACTGACTGCTCTTGCAGAGGACCCCGGTTTGATTCTCAGCACCCACATGGCGGCTATGAACCATCCTTAACTTCAGTTCCAGGGGAATCTGAAGCCTTCTTCTGACCTCCGCAGCACTGCATGACATGAGTGCACTCACATATATGCAGACAATACACTCATGCACATAAAAAATAATATTTCAGGGCTGGAGAGATAGTTCAGTGGTTAGCTTTCTTTTGAAACTTGATAAAGTCTCTAAAGTAAATTCTTAAATGTATAATTGTGTTCAGAATTTAACAAATTTTTTATGAAAAATTACAGTTTACGCTCCACAGTGTGTAAGGGATTTTCAGAAGGGACTAAGCAACCATACACTGCCACCCAAGAGAGTGTATGCTCAGGGGAAAATACACCTAAGTACTGATGCACTCATTTTAGAAGAAACTCAAGAGAAACCAGTGTCCTATATTCTCACTAAACACTTATTCCAGGAAAATGAAGAGATCAGAAGGTCCTCTGTAAGAGTGGCCTGCCAACTTCTGAGGTCCTTTTGTTTAAGCATTAGACTCAGTGGATCAACAAGTTCAGGTTCTTTTTTTGGAGGGGGGGGGATGCTGGGGATTGAATCTAAGGGCCTTGCTCATGGTAGGCAAGAGCTCCATCACTGAGCTCTATATCCCCAACCCCAAATGACCCATTCCGTAGTGAACACTGGTACCTTATAAAATGATCTAGAGAGGTAAAGGATAGTCCTAAAAGTAGGCATGGGATGGATTCCTGGAGACAAAGAGCACCTCTCCTATTCCAATATTCACTTAAACACTGACTGTAGTACCTGATGAGCAGTACTGCACTTCTCCAGTCAGTGCCCCCATCAGGGTAGCCAGAATCAGGCATCAGTGAGTCTGCACCCACAAAAACAGCAACACTCACAGGGGACATTTAACTCAGCAGATGAGATGGCTAAAAATCAATGAAACTCACAAACCTGAAAAGCACCGAGGGCAGTGGCAGTATATGTAGACTATTTCAATGGGCACTATCTTTATGTATTATTTATAGGTGACACAAAAGACTAACAGCTAGTGAATAAGTCATTGCAGTTTTTCAATAACGTAATTATGGTTTGGAGCTAAGTGTTCCCATAGGCTTGAGTCTCCTGCTTATGCCTCTACTTTGAAGGTTATGGGAGCCTTAAGCAGTGGACCTGACTGGCAAAAGTAGGCCACTGTGTGCAGGCCTTTCTTATACCCATTTCTGGTTCCAGCCTGGCGTTCCACTTCTTGGGATGGTGCCCTTTGACATTCCTGCCATCAGGGACTCCAACTGTCATGTCTTCCCCACCCTGATGACTGAAGCTCCTCTGAAACTGGATCCAAAACAAACCTTCCTTCTTTATGGTGTTTCTGTTAGGTATTCTGTCTCAGTAAAGGAAGTAACAAATGCAAGGGGCAAGGTACATGTAAACCTTGGTGGCTTACTGTCTGACACATACCCGAACCTAGATTCTAAGATGACAGGCAAACACAGTGCTACTTTCCCAGTGCCACACAGAAACCTTCAAAACATAAATCACACCAACCAAAATTCACCATTCCTATTTTTAATAAGTAAGGTTAACACAGCATACAGCAGAATGAAGGCCAGTGTTCCTTCTCACTCTGCAGTCACGGTGACGGTGTGCCTGTGTGGCAGCTCCATCCTCATTAGGGAAGAGGCTGGGGAGGCAGGACCCCATCCTGTTGCCTGCTTCACTCCTGCTGTCGATTCAAGTCTTTGTCCTTTTCTCTCCATCCTTTCACACCCTCACACAGAAGCCCCAGCCCGTTTCTCTTGCTTTCTGGATCCTCTTGCTATTACCAATTAACATTTCTAAACTGTCAGTTTCCCAATCTGGCCCACAGGGCTACTGTCTACAGCTGCTTCCCCTTTCCTCCACTCCCTCCCCTTGACTCGGCTCCTCAGTATCACAGAACTTTACCTATTACCCACAGCTCACTGAAATCCCACTCTGAGTTCTGGGGAGTGGTCAGTCAAAAGGCAGGTGTGATCTTTGATGTTCTTTTGGATCCTGTCTTGTCAAATGCTTGGAAGATGCTTCCACACTTCTAAAGACTCATCTTCCCATTGGGCTTGACAGGACCCTACATTAGAGATGTCTCTAGAACCCCCACAGTTTCAGTAGTCTACCCAAAGCAGAGCATGAGTTTTATTATCCTAGAGGCCCTTTGGGTTTTGATAAAACCTTCTTATTTCAGGGAAATATATTTTTTTAATATATATTTTATTATTTTAACTTTATGTGTATGAGTGTATTGCCTGCATGTATGTGAGTGCACCCGTGTCGTACAAGGCCGCGGGGGTCAGAAGAGGGCTTTGGATTCCCCTGGAACTGGCGTTAAGGACGGTTTGTAGCTGCCATGTGGGTGCTGGGAATTGAACCCGGGTCCTCTGCAAGAGTAGTCAGCGCTCTTAACCGCTGAGCCATCTCTCCAGCCCCGGAAATATTTTTTTTAAGTAAACATTTACATGACACTTACTACATGCTAGGTAGTCTTTTGGGGTCCCATAAATAGCCCAGGAACAGAGGGCAATTTAGAAGAAAAAAATCTCCCCCAAGTGACTTCTCTATCCACAGTCCATAAGCTGCAAAGCTGGGATTCAGTCCTGACAAGTCAACTAAGAGCCTGCACTCAAACCCAGAAGCAGTATTTTCTGCTTTAAAGGAGCACAACATGGGTGCACTCACATACATACAGGCAATATACTCATCTACATAAAATAAAAATAATAAATAAAATATTTAAAAACCAATTTAAAGAACACAGGCATGTTTTCATTTGTGTGCTGCCTATGCTGGTTTTGAGCTACAACAGAACTAAATAGCTTCAAGAAAGCTTCTGACTCCCATATCCCAAATATTCATGCTTGGAAAATAGTGAATTTTCAGTTAAAAGATTTCCACATACAGTTTTTGCCAACGCCTGCTCTAAACTTCTGTTGCCTTTAAGGAAAAGAATTAGAAAAGCAATTGGTGTGGTTTACTTAGACATGCTCTTTTAAAAAGACTATATCCTATTGTGAAAGGAAATTTGTGTATGCTGTCCAATCCATTCTCCAGAAGGAGCTGAGAGTCAGATTTCAAACTTTCAATGAGAGTATGTTCTCACTGGACCCCCATCATGTGTGCTGCAAATTCATCCCCGTCCTGTCTCCATCCTCACCTGAGTCCAGTCACATCTGCCTTCTTCAGCATTTCCTGATGGCTGGGTGTGCTGGATAGCTTTAGTGTCAACTTGACACACCTGGGTTGAGGGAGCCTCAGTTGGGGAATTTCCTCTATTGGACTGGCCTGTGGCCATGTCTGAGGGGCATCTTCTTGATGAATGATGTGGGAGGGCCCAGCCCACTGTGGGTGGTGCCACCCCTGGGCAGGTGGGCCTGTGTTACATAAGAAAGCAGGCTGGACCAGGGGAGCAAGCCAGTAAACAGTGTTCCTCCATGGCCTATGCTTCAGCTCCTGCGTCTAGGTTCCTGCCCTGAGTTCCTACCTTGGGCTCCCTGTTGAATTGTGACCCAGGAGATGTAAGCTGAATAAACCCTTTCCTCCCAAGTTGGTATTGGTCAGAGTATTTTGTCATAGCAATGAAGAAACAGATTAAGACACTGTCCAATCCATTCTCCACAAGGAGCTGAGAGTCAGATCTCAAACTTTCAATGAGTCTGTTCTCATTGGACCCCCATCATTTGTGCTGCAAATTTATCCCCATCCTTTCTCCATCCTCACCTGAGCCCAGTCACATCTGCCTTCTTCAGCATTTCACATGCCCCTCCTAATGGCTGGGCAAACCCAGATGCAGAGTGGGCCCTGGCAAAGTTCGTGTCCAGCCTTATGTCTCACCTCAAGGCCTTCAATCACTCCAGACAATCGGGGCTTTTAATCCCTACACACTGTTTCACTGTACTTTGAGCACTTCACATTTTTTTAAGTACTCTTTAAAATTCACCTATTTGCAGCTGCCGTTAGTCTTTATGCACCTGGAGGGCAGAGGCTTTTTCACTGATATACCTGGCACCTGGCCAGATAGGCAGAAGACTCTCCAAAGAGACTGGTGGAGTACAGAGCAATGAAATATGCCATTCTAAACTTAATTAGCTCTTCCCTCCCCAGTAACAAGTTAGGTGTAGATAATCCTTAATTTCTCATTTATTGAAAGTATTCCAACTAAAATCTAAATTGTTATTTTTTCCAAAATGAGTCAAAAGTATCTGGATTTTCCATGAATTCATACAAAGATAAATACCCATTTGTAATAGAGGTTTATAGATTTGATGATTATACCGAATTCTAGAAACAATATGAAATGTCCAAATGAAATGTTACTCTATCAATCAGTATCAATCTATAGTATACATTTTCCTCACAGACCTTTTTCAATATCCATGTAGAGCTGACTGATTTTGACATCTATAATAATCATTCCTAGGTATTAGTTTGCCATATAGTTTTAAAGTAAAAAACAAGGTGTACTTTTTAGTAAGATAGCTAGAAGACAGAATACTCAACCAAATTGAAATCCCAAAGCCCTTTATTATAATCATTAATATGCAATCAATACACTAATTAAAAAAAACATAAATTATTAGAAGGGACAAGTCTTAAGAGTCCCCACCCCACACAAACCCTACCTTCTATAGAAACTGCCTGCTCTTATATATACAAGTGCCGGTGCCAGCCGGCCAAGACGGACAGTACCTGAAAGGGGGAGTGAGGATTGAAAGAAAAAATAAGAGACAGAAAAGGTGCTTGGGAGGGCTGACAGTAGAGTGCCTGCAGCCCAGGTTTAGTTCACCTCTGCCTTTTTATACAGAAGAACTCAATTAGTTTCAACAGCTGTTTTTCCCACCTGAATCTGAGGGTCAAGGAGCGGTCAAATACTTCAAAGCCTTCTTTGATCTTTTTGTTTACCACTATTGCCTCCAGGTCAGGTATTGTGAGGCTCTCCATATAAACACAACCCTCCTGATTAGGCAGATTAGGTACTGGTATGCATAACACAAACTCAGTAAACAAGGCTGCCACAGCTCAATGTACATAATAGACTAGTAGCTCCCAACATACAAGTAGTCCCAAGTCTGCATTTTCTGGCCCTGCTCACTCTGGCCACACTAACTCTATTAGAGACTCCTGAGAAACCAGGATTTTGAACTGAGAGCTACAGCCATGAAGAGAGGGTAGAGGGTGCCTTTAACAGCAACCCAGTCCTGTACCTTTGCTGCTGAAGGGCCCCAAAAGCAGGCAGTTCCTGTCTACCGTGTGGCCTCTGAATTCTTCCTAGAATTCCTAAGACCTCAAAAGCATATGTCCTAAAACCTCTCACAAATGTTTTCTTTTCTATGTTTCTCTCCATTTGACTGGCTGCCAAGTGAATCTTAACTGGGATGAGACTGAACTAGTCAAAACATTTTAACTCACAGATTCAATTGTAGCTAAAATTCTTCTCAGTCTCACAATTTTTGAGTGAATGAGATACTGCACATTACTTTCAAACTGTGCTCCTTTTTTAGATTTTTTTTTTCACTAATTTAAACCACCTCATCAAATTATCTCAATTACTACATTTTTACCATATACTTTTATCCACAAACATAAAGAATGTGAGTAGTTCTTGCCTGTCACCAATCCCCATTTTTGCTAGATAAATAAACTATATAGTGGTTGAGGTTGAGTTTCTCAGACCACACAGTAGTAACAGCATGTTACATATTAGCAAGGAAAAGAGAGGTGCTTGCCATACCAGAGTCCACATATACCTGGGGAGGTGAACTCAGGCTCTACTCTCTGCTTCTAAGAGCTACAGAAACAGGCTTTTTAAAAAATATTTTAAATTTTTATCATTTTTATTTTTTGTGTATGAGTGTATTGCCTGCATGTAAGTGCACCCCTCATGCAATGCCTGCAGAGGACAGAAGAGGTGTCAGATTCCCTGGAAATGGAGTTATGGACAGCTGTTGGCAGCCATGTGGGTGCTGTGAATCAAACCCAGATCCTCTGTAAGAGCAGCCAGTGCTCTTAGGTGCTGAACCATCTCTCTAGCCCCTAAAAAACAGATTTTTTTTTTTTTTTTTTTTTTTTAAGGCTGAAGAAGCAAGGGAGGCTTTTCCAAAGTATATACTCAAAAAAATTAGTACTTTTTTCCATGTCTAGGCACAGTAATCTCTTATTTTATTTTTTATTGAATAAATAACAGGAGAACTAAGCTAAGGATACAGCTTAAAAGTTTTATCAAACCACACTGGGAAAATTCTTAGAAAATTATCAGGGCCTCCAAGAAATTAGTTTTGGAACAAACTATGAAGTCATAGTGATTTAAAAACAAAACAAAGCAACAAAAAGAACAGTAACTACTGTGCTGACACCTTCCTTATAATTTTACTGAGACCTGTACGAGAGTAAGCTTTTGCAGTTATCCACTGGTAGAAGCAGAAGGTCTCACCAATATTTTTCTTTACTACTTTCTAAGAAAAAGAACATTATCACTATAAGAAAAATAGCTGAAAACGTTTAGCATCATCAGGATGCTTTTCATGAAAGAAATAAAACCTCAACTGCAGCAAGCACAAAGTTCCTGCTTCCTTTTATCCAAGAGACTTTTCTCTTTTTTGGATAAAAATAATTTTATAGAATTTGAAGTAGAAGTATTCTATTAAAGCTAAGATGAGGAAAATAAATAGGTAAAATAATTCCATTATGTCCTGTTAGCCTGTGTATCTGTTAACATCTTTATATAATAGCAATTTAAAATTACTATATTGAGTAAAACTACATACCCTGGACTCTGCATCATCTTCTTCTTCATCAGGATTATAAGCTTCAGCACATACTATAAATATAAAAATGGAAATTTTAAACATTTGCTCAAATACATACTATATATATATTTTTTAATTAATGATCAGAAAGAATACCATGAATCGCCCCCCCAAAAGGAGACATTAATTCCAGTGCAAGCTGTCTGCCTCCTAGAATTGATTATACAATTTAAAAGGAATGTTTTTAGACTACAAAGCCATACGTTAAGACATTGAGAACTGCTTTTTTGTTTATTCCTATTCAAAACTTAACCCTCTCATCTTCATTTCCAAGGCAAAGAAATGCTACTACCTGAAAGAATGTGAACAAGAAAAAGTTGAACTCTGCCATAAAATGATCAATTTAGTCCATATAGCTATGAGAAACTTTCATAAATTATCCATAATCCAATTTTTCAGGAGGAAATGTTACTAATATTGTGGATAACCCTTTCAGTCTTAATTCTGAGTGCATGTATATTGCATATGCAACTTTAGAATCTTTTTCATTTAAGAATTTCATTTAATAAGAATGTTCATGTCATCAGAAACAGTAAATATTGTTCTTAAGGACCACAAATTATTTATTACTGCTATAATTAACTACATTCCTAATACTGAACATTTAAGTGGCTTTTTATTAAAACAACTTCGCATTGAACTTCTTCACACACAAATATTTGTGGACACTTCAGATTATGTTACAGGCATTATTCCAAAATGTGATTTGGGAAGACTTTAAAAGCATAGCAAGAGATCCGGGCCTCTGAAAGAGGAGTCAGTGCTCTTAACCGCTGAGCCATCTCTCCAGCCCCCAGGATTATAGTTTTTTAAAATGTTGGTTTGTCACCCTTTTCTGTGAAATTGGAGAGTTTATATTTATTGGTTCATTTGGATTAATTTCCATTTTCTTATTTTGTGTTGTGTTTTTCTACTTTACAAACACTTATTTTTCTCATTTTTTAGTGATAATCCTGGCTATTTTGTCAATATAAAACCTGAGGTCAATTTGATTATTTTCTTACTCAGTAGTAGAATGTCTGTAAAATACTATTTTACAAAACTTGCTTCCTAATTAAAATCTTCCATATGATCCAAGATAAAAGAAGCATTATATAAACTTCTTTTTTTCTTTTTTTATTATTTATTTAATAACCACATGATTAGAAGAAGCATTTCATTACAGCATTAACATATTCAATAACAATTTCCCGAGCAAAGAGGTATCACTTTCAAAACTGGCTGTAAATTTTTAGGTTCACAGTTGAATTAATACAGTTAGTTATACAATGTTGGACTCGGTATAAACCCTATAAGTCATAAAATTGAATGAGGTTTTAACTTTAAAAAAAGATCTCCATTTCATTTTAAAATATACTGCTTCATATGGAAAAACTCATTTTTAATGCTACTAACACTTAGATGTTTGCACATGCGTCTCTAAATTCCATGTATCTGATTATAACTAGTCACAGTAGGTTACTTTCTGAGATCCTTGGTACCTGAGCATGGATATAAAGTCATCAGGTAGATTTCAGTGGTAATGTTTTTCATATCTACTAATTAACATGATGCAAGTTGATTTCTAACATGTGTGCCATGGTGTGCATACACACACACACACACAATAATAAATAAGTGTAATTAAAAATTTTTTTAATGAAATCTACTAAGTGATTTAGGGCATCATTGAGCTTCAAAACATGCCACAACTCCTTCTGCTCCCCCACAGTGAAGCAGTGATACAGGGTGTCATCTCTGGGGAGACGCATAGCAACACATTGGGCCTTTCTCAGCAGCTCTACGCTCATTACACCAGTAGCAAGTGACTTGACTTCTTTCCTGTCTTAGTCTATTTTCTTTTTTTATAAAATTATTTAATAATCACATACTTAGAAGAAGCATTTCATTACGACAGCTTTGACATATTCAATAACAATTTCTAGAGCTAAGATGCATCTCTTTCAAAATTGGCTGTAAAATTTTAGGTTTACAGTTGAATTATTACAGTTATACAATATTGTACTCAGTATAAACCCTATAAGATGTAACGTTAAATGAGGTTTTAACCTTTAAAAAAATCTCCATTTCATTATTAAAATACAGTTTCATACAGAAAAAATCATTTTTAATGCAATTAACATTAAGATGTTCACACATGCATTCTAATCTCTATATATCTGATTATTACTAGTCACAGCCAGTTACTTTCTGAGCTCCTTGGCATCTGAGAATGGATATAAAATTGTCAAGTAGATTTCAATGGTAATGTTTTTCACATCTAGGGAGTGTGTTGTTTAATCACCACGAGTTCAGTTCCTGTAGTGACTAGGACTTTGCCCAGCGTTGATTTTGAGCTTTATTGCATTGTGGTCTGACGGAATGCATGGAACGAGTTTTTAACCTTTAAAAGAGATCTCCATCTCATTTTAGAATACATTGTTCCTTGCAGAAAGACTCATTGTTTTTGCTACTAACACTGAGATGTTGGCACATGCATCTCTAATCTGTAT